TTGCGCCACACGTCTATCGATCGATATATATCGTTATTGAATTATCGCCCAGCCCTAGCCTGCAATACCCAATTCTGGTCTATGCCTCTGTAAGGGGGTTTGTTTGGGGGGATTGTTGGCCTGGCTGAACAGGCAAGATGTTTTGGTCCCCCGTATGGGCAGGGGGGGGGTTGCGATGATAGCGATTTTTGAAAGCTGAAATCTGAGTCCACCCCCTCTATTTAAGTTTGGCTTTTCTTTCTTAACATAAATGGCCTCCTTCACATTGCCTGAAAACCACCTGTCTTCTTTGTCCAAAATGTGAACATTCTGGTCCTTAAAAGAATGTCCTTTGTCCATAAGGTGTAGATGTACAGCCGAGTCTTGTCCGGAGGTGGTAGCTCTTCTGTGTTGGGCCATCTGTTTGGTTTCTCCAATATGCTCTGATTTTTATATTGGAGAAACCAAACAACTGATTGCCTGCAAAAAGAGAATTACCAGGAAATGGTTATCACAAGAGAGCCCAACCTTAAGCACGTGGATGGACATTACAATGGACATGTATAAAAGTGGAGATTACAGCATTTTTTTAAATCGCAAAGCGGAGGCATTTGCTTTGCATTGAGAAAATTGGGTCAAATACGTTACACCATATATATGAGTTAATTAACTGTTTTACACAAAATGATTGCTCTATTTTGTACATATTTTTTATTTATTTTATTTTATTTTATTTTTTCATCTTTCTCTGTTTTTATGTAATACAAAATATTAATTTGACATTTAGAACAGTCAACAGAAATTGATACAAATGTACATTAAGTTTTGGTTGTCTGATTTTGAATGTCAATAAAAATAATACATTAAAAAAGATCAAAATGTGATTAATTAGATTAAATAGTTATAAATTCAGTAACTGATTAGATTAATTAATTAAAGGAGTAGCCCTAGTAATAATAAATACATATATTGAAATGCTTTGTCTCAACAGGGTTGCCACTCCCTTCAGCAAGCTAGTGTTTCGTGTTTGGAGCCACCAGACCTTGAAGTCAGACTTGTTTTTAGGCCAGGCCAAGCTGGACCTCAGTGAAACACTAAAGGCCAACGACATGAAAAGTAAGTAGTTGAAATGCAGACAGTTGAAACAAACTAGATAAAACAAACTTTTGCATTTTACAAAATAAATGCAAACTGTTTCACACAAAGATTTGAGATGGAGTTATTTTCTCTGTAAGAAGACTTGAGGCCAATTTATGCTTCTGACGCATGGCGTCTGGAACCGTCCAATCTGTCTCTGTGTGCAACCACGCCCCGCGCAGATGTTCTGCAACCGTCGTTGTGCACCTCAAAAAAATCCTGACTGCGTGTTGGACAGTCACAAACCCATGCAGCGGAAGTGCACAGACAATAAGCAGCTGTGATTGGTCCTTGGTATGCCTTTCTGGCTCTCTGTGTGGCTGTCGTTCTCGATTCGGTGCCGTGGCGTGCCATTTTTAAAAACCAAGGAACAACTACAATGGACAACTACGAGGAAAGGTTAATTGAGGAGGTTCAGAAGTACAAGCTGTCGAAGTTCTTGCGAGTTCTCTAATAGGCTCCCCCTTGCGCTTTGGCAGGAAACTGCTAGAAATTCCAGACCGACGGTGCAGAAGCATACCAGCAAAACTGGTTTGCGACCAGACCCAAGCGACATTTGATGTGTTCGGTTGCAGAAGTCTAATCTTTATTTAGCCACATTCTGCAGTTGTGTGTTAGGAAAGGACCAGATACCTTCAGTCCTCAAGAGCCACTGTCCTAGATTATATAGATGTTTCTCTGGTTCAGCACCCCTAGAACCAGTTAAATGCTGGTTACCAGACCTCCACAGAACTTAATGACATCCCGAGGAGGTAACTAAGGTATTAGGTCATGCTAGGAAAACATTTTAGACATGGAAAGACTTAGAAAATTTTTGTTCTACATAGGGCAGAAGGATTTTGCCAAAAATATAAATTGCGATCATTTTCAGCGATTTCCCTTTAAACTAAGCACAAGCATGTAAATGTTTTTTCATGACCTTGAAAGATTGCTTTTCTAGAGCTGATTTTTGGAGGACTGTACTGCAACTCTCTCCTCCCTTCTGTGTGGTGGCAAATCTCCTTCAAGTGGATCACCGCCACCTAAAGGGGTGGAGGCAGAAATTTATCATCTTTTTCATGTTATATCTAATGTTAGTAAAAATTAGTTAAATATGCATTTTTTTTCTAATTTGCTGTTTTATAGAAAATGTTGTTTTTTTTTTGAGTTTTTACTGCACTAGTGCCTCATTTTTTTTTGTCAGTAGGCTGACAGGAAAGGGGGTATGAAAGGAGGATAGACATACAGCAAAGGACCACAGGTTGGATTTATTAACCTGGGTCGGCCATGTCGAGGAATAAAGGCTGGTTTATACTCAGAAACCAGGTCGTCTGTCTGTGTGTTGCGGTTAATGCAGATACGCCCCCACCCCTTCCGCAGACACTCTGGTGCACTTCTCAGAAATTGTAGGTGACCACAAACAGTGCCGCAGACAGGAGGCCTCTGATTGGTCAAATCTACATCCGCTCTTCACTATACACATTTCCTGTTTGAAACCTTACCGGCTTGTTTTGTTTGTATGACTGCCATTGGGGAAAATGACCCGTGAAGATGGACCAGCTAGAAGAGCGAGGTGTGCGAAAACGCTGGGACCCTTTTTCCACCTGGATCTCTGTTGTTTTCTGCTCCTCTGTTGTCGCACAATCTTATCCCTTGCGTATTTCCACTTCCTCACCGCCTCGGCCGTATCTATACCCACAGCTAGTTCGGGATTGTCCCTCTTGCGTTGTGGCGTGGAATCTATCTGGAGCTATCTGCCACTAGTGTTAATTTTAGCAGCCATTTTTAAATTTAGTTTCAGTTTTAGTCCAGTTTCAGCATCGCTTGTTAGTTTTTATCACATTTAGTCGACATCATCCCATTTTTATTTAGTCTAGTTTTAATCGACTATAAGGCGAGCATGTTAGTCTTTATTTTAGTCCAAGAAAACACCATTTTATTCGTTTAGTTTTAGTCAACAAAAACTGTCAATATTTTAGTCTAGTTTTAGTCAGGACATAATTTTAACCTTTTACTTTTTTGTCAGCAGATAATATTTAACATTTCCTAAAAGTATTTCACATTTCAACATTTTCTCTCATCTTTTTGATTAAAAAAAACACAATTTTAAAGAACACATACAGACATGGAAGATGTTCTGACAATATTTGCATATTTATTTTGAACATTGTTAAGGTTCAAAGACACAAACACAAATGCTTGCATTAAAACAAAAAATACACCTGACAAGGGAAACAAATAAATAAAATAAAGTGTCTTATTAACTTTACACAAGTGCTGGCTGTTTAAAGCTAGTTCACATAGAATAATAAAATAAATAGATTTGAGGTCAATGTTGTGAAAAAAAAAACTGATACAACAAAAGAGCTTTCCTGCCAGCTAGTTCACATGGTATATAAAGGTACATTATTTAAGGTGAAAAAGGCATAGCTTGCTAGTCCTGAGAGTCAGCTTTGTATTTGGTGTGGGCAATTAAGGAAGCTTGTATACCTGGCCTGTCATTGTTTCTGGGTGGCTGGTAGGTTGTTGGTGGTGGTGTATCTTCAATCTGGAACAGAAATTAATACAATATCAGGATAGATGCACAGCATAACAGGAATTCCAAGTGTATAAGTAGCATATAGGTCTGTTTTTTTCCTTAACAAAAACTAAGTCTCTGTAAAAACTAAATTTGACAATCCATTTCAAACTCATACAAACAACCCAACTATCATTTTATCCAGGAATAAATTGCAGACATTTTTATTTGTGCATGAATTTT